TTGTATTCTAGAATAACGTGGATCTAATTCTACCAGTGGTAATCCTACTTATACTCATACGTCCTTTTCTGAGGAAAAAAATTCTTCAAAATCGATGTCAGTTTTGAATATTTTTAATATTCCACAAAACCAAAATGAATTTGAACTACCCTATATATTGGATTCCGGAACTTCATAAGAATCCTTACAAACGAAGATGCGGGTTCCAGTTAATGTTCAACCAAGCCTCTTTGGTTACATCTCAATAAGATATTGACAGAAATGAAGGAAAAACTTCAAGAGTACTGTGCAAAAATATACTCAAGAAGTGGTATGAATCAGATGTGGATACTCAAAAAGTCCAAAGAACTCAGTTTTGGACATTTGAAATCACAAGATTTTACCAAGGTCAACAGCTTAAAACTTACAACTTTTCAACTTTATATACAATCATTCCCTACGATAAATTAAAGTCCAGGCTTTTTGATATTATTGACAGTTGCTTTTTCAGAAGAAATAGAAAAGAAAAAAATTCTCTTACTTGGTAATTGGTCATTTGCAAAATTATTTTGTTAAAAAACACACTCTGATTACGTGCAGAAGTACTTTGAAATTGACATCAAAAAGATGCCTGAGTTTCTGATTGAAAAAAAAAATCAATGGGTTTTTGGAGACCAAGTCTTCAAACAATCTACTGGAATTTCCATAGGAACTAAATGCGCTCCGTTATTAGCAGACCTATTTCTGTATTCAAATGAAGCAGAATTTGTGCAAGATCTTATGCATGAAAAGAAAAAAACACTTGCTGTAGCCTTCAACTCGACATTTAGATATATCGAAGATGTTTTGTAAATCAACAAAGGTAACTTCCATTCCTACGTCGATACGATATATCCTGAAGAGCTTGAGATAAGAAAAGTCTTAAGATATCACAGAGTCTGACACATCTGTTTCATACTTGGATATTTTAGTTGAAAAAGACGCTAATGGTTATATAACAACCAAGCTATATGATAAACGTGATGACCTTAACTTTCTCTCATCAACTTCCCTAACTCATGCAGCAATAAATTGCTGATTGTTATTTGTCCATTATTTTTACATTGAATTGACGACGGATTTTTTCGTTATTTCCCGATCATGACAAGGATAACACGGCGGGTGTGACAGGTCAGCAGGGAATGCTCACTCCTCCATGGCACCTGATCCCACCTCTGATGTTTCAGGGGTCCGTTTTTGCTCTGCCCTTATTTTGTATTGTTTTATGGACTTTGAAATTGAATACTGTTCGTTATCTCTATATCTTTCTTCCATACAGATGTATATGTAAGTTTAAATGTAAAGAGCTAAGAGACTTGAATTTATATAGTTAAAAAATGTTGCTTTCTTGTATGGAAGGGAATTACAGCCAAAAGTCTATGTATCTTGCTTTTATTCTTATTCTGCCTACTTCTTTATGCTTTGTTATTATTGTAATTATATGTCACTTTATTGTTTTCATATTTGTCTTCATTACATTTCACTTTGACTTTTATCCTTCTTCATTTCATCCTTACTTCTATGTTTCTTTATTCTTGTTAAGTCATTTTATTTTATTTTTAAATTGATACAATATCTTAAATGATTATCTCTATTACGAACGTTAACTCAATCACGCAAACAATGAAGCATATTCAATGAAGACGAATACGAGTTGTCCTAATTTAGTGCCGCATTATAACGCTAGGTGGCAGGGGTGTTCGCTAAGAGTGTTGGTAAAATTAGGTAAGCAAACCGGGCCGTGGTTATTCGAGTTTTTTTTTTCCAATTTTCTGCCTTAATACTTTATCGATCGAACTTAAATTTTCAAATGAATGATGTTTGTTATTAGTTCAGGTATGTACCCGATATATGTACATGCCATTCCCTCGAAAGTCCAAATGGTAAGATTTCCCTTTGAAGTGAAACATAGTGATGCTAAGTATATAGGACAAATTTGCAGCTCTCCATCGGCAAAGTGGCTAACTTTTTTCAAGAACAACTATTTTTCAATTCCAATTTTTTGGGGGAAAAATTCTTTTATATCCACTGTGGTGAAATGTGTGTGTGTGTGTGTGTGTGTGTGTGGGGGGGGGGGGGGGGGGTAATCTTCCTTTAAGTAAACATTTTCTATTGTAAAGGTATGGTCGGGGGGGGGGGAAGTGGGAGGGGAGCCCTCCCCCCTGCCCCCCCCCTGATACTACGTCCCTGTCTTACCCTTTTTGTTGCAGTACTTATAGTCAATTTATATATTAAAAGTCATGTACTTATTGGTATGAGTAAAATTTAGCACTGTAAAAAAGTTGACGACCCCTCCCCCCTCATCACCACCAAACAGAATTTCCGAGTTCTAAGATTTTTTTAGCTCTCCTGGCTGATCACAAATACGATGCGTACTAAAGATATTTCTTTCTTTATTGAAAATTAAGTGCTATTTTAATAAGAAATATTAACGCTGAAAATAAGACCAGGGAGTTTCTAGTATGTCTGGATGCATGAAGCCTAGTTCTTACTTCGCCTACTATGCACGGATCTAGAGGGGGATGGGGTGTAAGGACCCCCTGGAATTTACAAGGTTTAAAAATGTATATACTAAAGCAAGGAAAAAAGTTAAACGCTCCCTTCGAAATTGGATTTTGACGTTTGGGCGAGTTTAGGTTTTTTTATGCTCGTCAAGTAATTTCTGGGATTGGAATTTTTGTTTTTGGGCTGGGGTGCCCCCCCCCCCCCCCCCGCGCTGGAAAAAAAATTTGGATCCGCGCCTGCCTACCCATATTAACGCTCCTCACTCCTTTGCAAAGCCCTGCCCCTAGAATCACGCACATGAGCAGTTACTATCTGTCATGAAATAAACTTCAGTACAGTGGAAGGTTCTGAAAAACAACCCAATTTATGAGGGTTAACTAGTATCAAAATATTGAACATTTTTATATCAATTAAACTAGAATTCAATTATCCAACAAATAACTTTAATAGAGTTATATTTTACAGGCGAGATAACAGTAACGTAGCATTGTAAGTTTTTGAAAGTGGGGAGGGGGCAACAAGAGAATAAATATTAAAGTACCCGGCTGAAAACAACTTGACAAGCGCAAAAAAAAACTTGAAAATACATACTAGGCGTCGGAACCGTGGAGGGGTTGGACTTAGTCCCCACTTTTTTTCCAGAGATAGACTTAGTACAGACGTTCCTGCATAGGTTATAACCCCCCCCACTTGCCATGGGCACGATGCAGTATAGGTTTAAAATGGGGAAAGTGGTGGTGTATGGGAAAAAAACGTTGGCACTGGCGTTCGAACCTACCCCCCCCCCCTCACCCACCCCCACGAAATTGAATATTTGAGTTCTGAAAATGGACATTTCTTTTCTTTTCTTTTTTTCTTTTTTTTTTTGCTTGTCAGGTTTTTTTTTTGATGGTCTTAGAAAATTCTTACACTTAGCCCCCCCCCCACTTTCAATTTGCTTCCGATGCCAATGAAATCCTATTTCGAAGGCGGGGTGAGTTTTGGCTTAGATTTAACTTCTTCTATAGAGTCAAATTTAAATTTTCTTCCTACTATACGTACTACATTAACCAGGGACCTATATACTAACTTAGTATATAGGTCCCTGCATTAACTTATTTGACCCGTACTCTTACAAAAAGTGGGTGGGCATTTCAATAAACATATTCAGTATACCGGTAGTATAAAGTTATGTCTGAAAAAAGAGGCCACTGCTGTATATCCTGTGTGGCCAGAGAAAATAAATATGGAGTTTCCATTATTGGATCGGATTACTGGATCAGACCTTCAGAAGTTCGATTGATAATTAAAGTACTAAGGCGTATTAAAGAATCTCAAATAACCCGACCAGGGTTTGGTTACCTAGTTTTACCAACACTCATAGCGAACACCACACCACCTAGCGTTATAATGCCGCACTAAATTTTGACGGTTTGACAACTTACATTCGTCTTCATTGAATATGCTTCATTGTTTGCGTGATTGAGTTAACGTTCGTAATAGAGATAATCATTTAAGATATTGTATCAATTTAAAAATAAAATAAAATGACTTAACAAGAATAAAGAAACATAGAAGTAAGGACGAAATAAAGAAGGATAAAAGTAAAAGTGAAATGTAATAAAGACGAATATGAAAACAATAAAGTGACATATAATTACATTAATAACAAAGCATAAAGAAGTAGGCAGAATAAGAATAAAAGCAAGATACATAGACTTTTGGCGGTAATTCCCTTCCATACTCTTGCTTCTATGCTATGTTTTTTGACTTGTAAAAAATTCAAAGTTTATACCGGTAGTAATCAGAAAAACCTTTGAGTGATTAAAAAACACCCAAAAATATAATAATAAATTTATGCTCCTCAATAAATCAATATTCATTCGGATTATACAAGCCAAAAATAAATCCATACCAGATACATTGATAGTGATGCTGCTATTAAGATATGCAATTAAATATATAATGGAAAGAAATAAAATACATTAAAAAAAAACTCCTCCCAATTGCATTTGAAAGTATGAAAAATGTCAGGAGACTCGTATATAAGGTTTTATTGTATAAAAAAGTAGGGGGTCAAAATTCTATGGGGGTCATTTTTCAACGTGTGTGGAGTCGTAGAATTGCTGGTCTGGAATGTTTTTCTACAGTCGAAAAATGACGCTATTTGTCGTAGAATATTGACCCGGGGTCATTTTTCTACGTAGAAAAATGACCCCCTGGTCAATATTCTACGGGGGTCACTTTTCGTCGTTACACGTGGCCCTTCATTTGAAATAACTTAAATCCCCGTCACCCAAGGATGCTTTGTGGCAAGTTTGGTTGAAATTGGCCCAGCGGTTCTTGAGAAGTCAAAAATGTGAAAAGTTTACAGACAGACAGATGGACACCGGACAAAATGTGATCAGAAAAGCTCAAAAGCTAAAAAACTAAATTTAAGCTTAAGAAAAGCTCACTTGAGCCTTCGGCTTAGATGAGCTAAAAATTTAAATATTTTTGAAACCTGTTAAAATGGTGATTTCTTCAGCCTATTTAGCTTTACATAGTTAAACAGCACATCCTGGGAGACCTGTCAAAACAAACTAAGTACAATGAGTAAATATTTCTGTATAGCTTCAATGTCTTAAAAGACTAATGTTATACATGTAGTATGGTTTAATTTAGATTATTCATGGAAATGTTTCATGATGCATTGATAAAAGTTGTCTGATACTCTCAAAACTGTAACACATTTCTTAATTTACTTTCCGATTGTCACAAACCTGTTAGATATAAAGGTAACTATAAATATGTCCAGAGGACATGAATGCCCCGCCGAGGGTATATTAGTAAAGCAACATGAAAATTTGTATAAATGTACGAAATTTGATCAGAATATCTTGAATAGTGATGCAGTTGAAGTGCTTACATTACTAGTAGTATGTATCAGCATATGAAGTTTGACACTAATTTCATTAAAGTGAGGTCAAGATCAAAGGAAATGCCAAGGTCAAACAAGAGGCCCATGGGCCACATCGCTCACCTGAGAAACTTTGGCCATGCTGTTCTTTAACAGATATCCCCCCTTTGTAATACAAATTGTGACTATGCCCTACCACCAGAGGTCATGATTTGGCCAATTTATAATCTACACTACCATTAGGATGCTTCCACATAAGTTTCAGCTTTTCTGGCCCAGTGCTTCTTGAGAAGAAGATTTTTAAAGTTTTTTCCTATATATTTCTATGTAAAACTTGGATTCCCTATTGTGGCCCCGCCCCCCCCCCACCCCAAGGGGTCATGATTTGAACAATTTATAATCTACACTACCCCAGGATGCTTCCACATAAGTTTCAGCTTTTCTGGCCCAGTGCTTCTTGAGAAGAAGATTTTTAAAGTTTTTCCCTATATATTTCTATGTAAAACTTGGATTCCCTATTGTGACCCCGCCCTACCCTCGGGGGTCATGATTTGAACAATTTAGAATCTACACTACCCAAGGATGTTCCACATAAGTTTCAGCTTTTCTGGCCAAGTGGTTCTTGAGAAGAAGATTTTTAAAGTTTTTTCCCTATCTATTTCTATGTAAAACTTGGATTCCCTATTTTGGCCCGCCCTACCACTAGGGGTCATGACTTGAACAATTTAGAATCAACACTACCCAGGATGTTTTCATATGATGACCGTCAAGCGAAAACCACCCTTATGTGCATTATGACGTTATAGAGAAAACGAGCGCTAAAGTTGACGTCATAAATGTTTGCCGTACTTTGCAAATAAATGCAGTGTGAAGACGCATCATTCATCATAATAAATATTTCTTCATACACTAAATGCCTATACTAAACAACATAATGAGTAGTCGTAATTGTAATTATTAAAGCCCACTATCAAGCACTGAGTATGAAAAAAAAAATAATTTACAGCAAACTGAAGGTGAAAATCCTTTAAAGTAGCGAATGCCACGATCTTCGCCTTTATTTTCATTTTCGATGAGCATTTTATTTTTACTTCTAAAACACAAATATGGGGGAGAAGTTGCACATTTTCTTGAGGCTAGGGCAGCAACAAAAAGAACGTATAGATCTACTCTTATTCAACATGATTTTTTTTTGTCAATTTGATATTTATTAACATTTCTGTATTTATGATAAAAAAAAGCATAGAAAACCTAATCAAAGTACTAGTGAAAAGCTAAGGTGTTGGATTTCATAAAAAAGTGTGTAAGTTTATTGCAAACTAAACAGCATTATGTACCAAACATCAAAAACAAGCTTAAAGGTACAGGGAGGCAGGTCACAGAGGTATAATTTATCAATATTAATTGAATTTGGGAAACAAAGACCTCGGTACAATTTGGCTGGTGTATACTATAACAAATTCGTTTTGCTTTGCTTTCTTATTGCTTGTCAAGAATCCCCCCCCCCAAAAAAAAAAAGGGAAATAAAAAATGAATCGCTTCCTACATGTATAATGTACTTGAAATAATCTACATGTATGTTAACATGTCAACATGTACAAATGCCGCTAACGAAGGGAAGAAACCTGCGTTATAATTATTTATTGTTACCTGGCAACAGGAAGCGTTCAGTATTCACCACTTCCTCCCAAGATTTTTCGATGTCTGTGTATATCTTACTTGCATGTTTTTGATATTAAAAGGGGAAAGTAGGAACTGCTAATTATTCATTCTTTAAAATATTTGCTAAAAAAAAGAGTTTAAAAAATTGATATACTTCTTTATTTTTAAACTGTTGGAATAATAATTCAACATTATGAATCCTTCGATCAGTTACTCAAAGACGAATGCAGCCTCCATGTTTTAGGAAAAGATAAGAAATTATCATGAAAATGAAATCATTTAATCTGTAAATTGTGTTGTATCCTAGTACTACAGTACTACACGGTTCAGGGAGGGTATAAGCAACTTTAACTTTGATTAGGTTATAGAAATAAAATTAATTAAACCGATTCAAATAAAACTTAAAAACTGATCAAATATTTAGCATGGGGCTAATAACTCTATTTAAGCTATTTTAATCTATTTAAATGAGTCATGTAATCAACCAATCAAACCACAATTACACAACAGTACAGTGACGTAGCATCGTTTTGAAAAGGGGGGGGGCCAGAGAAAAAAAATAACATGGAAAAAAGTTGAGGGGAAAATGCCCAAACTCGAAAATCATATTTCGTTTCGTGACGGATGGGATAAGCCAGCAGGAAGTAGACATGCAGGGGCATTAACACCATATTCAAGGCTGTTTGTACAACCCGCTGCACCTCCTGCTTTATGCACTGGATTATTCTTATGCACTATCGATTTCGCTCCACGTGCATGTACATATATGACAAGTTGATCTACAGTGTTTTTGGAGTACATATTTTGCCATGTTTGTTATACTTAGTACATGTACATATAGAAAACTCTTTCTCCTTCTTTGTTTCTTTGTTTCAATGATTTTTGCACAAATTGTCTCATGTCACTCTCAATCCGCATCTGTCCAGAATTTATGTGCGAGGATCGTATGTATTGGTCATTGTTTCCGATGGTGTATTTCAGGGAAACTTCTTAGATTCTATAGGCGAAATCAGTTGTTATTTAAGAGTGTACATGTGACAGTGATTCACATTTCATTTCTTTGAAAAATAAAAATGAATGGGTGCACGAAACGCGTGACTGAAAGAGAAAGCAGCATTACCCCTCTCTCTAAATTTTACGTTTTAAAAATTTTATCCTGTGCGGAAATCTTCATTCTGATAATTATTTTTTCATTTTAAAAACATATTGACCCTAGCCACACTGCAAATTCAGTACGATTTCACTCCCGGTAATTTTAATGCATTTTTATCTGCTTAGCTGAAACAAATACGCATATAGGTAAGGTTTTAATTTTCATAATTTAAGCAAATTGTCGTCTACAATTAAGCAGGAAAAACACATTGTCAATTATTTTCAAATAATTCTTTTCTAAAAACAGACATTTATTCATCATGCAGACTTGCTATCAGGCAAAAATTTTACTTCCTCTGCAAGTCATGTACATTGATAAAAGGTGGTGGATGTTAATATTCCTTTGATAAGTAAAATATATAGAGACGCAGAGAGAAGTTAATTGATTTGTGAACTTGCTTTCCACCACGAAGGGCGACAAATGCACATTTTCAAAACATAAAGGGGGTCCTTCCAATTACTGGAAGCTCAGTACCAAATTTAAAGTTTAAATGGGTATAGATGTGTATTATATGCATCTTTAATGCAGGGTCAGAGCAGAGAGGTCATTTACTTCGATAAGGCTCTTCAAGCCATTTTTGCGAGATTAATAGAAAGAAGGAATCAAATCTGTTCCTCAAACTGCTCCAAAAAATAATAACTTCATTTGAAAAAAAAACCCACAAGGGCAGAAAGTATTTTCGACGACCGCCTTGATTTAATTTATGTGTGAAATAATATATTCTCTCTCTCTCTCTCTCTCTCTCTCTCTCGACGCGGGTTCGAATCCCACCGAGGGGCGCGGAGACCGGTCCATCGGATGAGACCGAGGGTCGCAGTAGGTGCTGCCACGAAAAAGATCCCTACCTGCTCAATGTCCTCGAGTGCTGAGTATAGGACAAAATTTTTCTCCACCGGAAAGCGGCGGCGTCTCCATATGAATGAAAAATTCTCGAGAGGGACATTAAACAGTATACAATCAATTTCTTTCTCTGGAAAATGATAGGGCCGTTTGTTATCAGAATGTCCCTTATTAGCAGACATAATTTCCGTATTCCAAATTTATTCAAATTCGTATACATGAGAAACAGAAATTTTTTTTTCTGTGGCCTTATAAATTTAGATATCGACAACGTACATGTATTATCAATTAGCAACAGTTACTTTCATTCATATGTTGACCCGACATACCATATCATGAAATTGTTCAAATTGTTCAATCACAAAATGACGAAAAAAACTTCTGAAACAAAAGAGCATGCAAACCATCAATCTGATCTGATCTGTGTATTGGGGGGGGGGGGGGGGGGTTTAAAAGTTTCTAGTATTGGATGAATCTCAGTTTTCTGTAGAGATTTTAAGAGCATAGACCATATAAACAGATAAAGGGCATTAAAGGCACAATAAATCTCCTCCCTTAAAAAGAAAAATAAACTGACAAAAATGATTTTAAAAAAAAAAAGAAACAAAACATCTCGTTACCTCATGTCTTTTTTTAAAGGGGGGGGGGTGATAAAAACCTGACTTCTAAAATGCTAAAATTATTGGTCATAAAAAGGAACAATAACAACGTAATTAAATAAGAATCACTTATGTAATGTCATTTGTTTCCGAGGTGATTTTTCTTGTGCAGTTTTTACAACACAACCATTGAAATGTGATAACAAAATAACTGACGTTATCCGATAAAACACAGCGTCATGGCGAAGAATTCGTATTTTTTACTTGAAAAATTTCACTAATATCTAGTCTTCGAACAATGACATGTTATATATCATTTGAAAGAGGAGAAAATTCTCTATCAGGACCACTTAACAACTCAAAATGTCAAAATTTTGACTTAAGGGTGGTTTTCGCTTGACGGTCATCATATAAGTTTTAGCTTTTCTGGCACAGTGGTTCTTGAGAAGAAGATTTTTTAATGACCCCACCCTATTTTTGTATTTTCTTGATTATCTCCCCTTGGAAGGGGTCTTGGGCCTTGATTTTAACAATTTAAATTCCCCTTCACCCAAGGATGCTTTGTATCAAGTTTGGTTAAAATTGGTCCAGTGGTTCTTGAGAAGAAGTTGAAAATGTGAAAAGTTTACAGACGGACAGACGGACGGATAGACAGACGGACGACGGACAACGGGTGATCAGAAAAGCTCACTTGAGCTTTCTGCTCAGTCGAGCTAAAAACTGTAGATGCAGTTGAACAGCTCTCATCAGTAAGTATCAGCATATGAAGTTGTAAAAATATTATAAATGGTTTCTTTAAAACTGACTTTTAAAAACACAATTTGATAAAGAGAGGTCAAGGTCAAATAAAAGGTCAAAATTGTTGATGCAGTTGAATTGCTTACATCAGTATGTATCAGCATATGAAGTTTGACAGTGATTTAGGAAAAGTGAGGTCAAAGGTCAAAGGAAACATCAAGGTCAAATTGTTGATGCAGATGCATATCTCTCATTAATATGTATCAAGATATGAAGTTTGATAAAAATATCTAGATTGATCTCTTCAATAAAAACTGACTTACACACAATTTGATAAAAGTGAGGTCAAGGTCAAATAAAAGGTCAAAGTCAAAATTGCTGATGCAGTTCAATTGCTTATATCATTATGTATCAGCATGTGAAATTTGACAGTGATTTAGGAAAAGTGAGGTCAAAGGTCAAAGGTCAAAGGAAAAGTCAAGGTCAAAAATGTTAATGAAGTTTGATAAAAATATCTCGAATGGTATCTTTAAAACTGAGCAAAACACTAATTTAAGATAAGTAAGGTCAAGGCCAAAGGAAAGGTCAAGGTCAAAAATGTTGATGCAGTTGCATAGCTCTCATCAATATCTATCAGCATATGAAGTTTGATAAAAATATCTTGGATAGTTTCTTTGAAACTTAGCTTTGAACAGAGATAAATGCAAAATGTGACGGAAGGACAGACGGAAGGATGGAAGACGGACATGACAAACACTAAATGCCCCGGCCATATTCATGGTGGGGCATAAAAATAAATACCTGTATAATGATAATTATCCTCGTAATCCCTTCAAATGTTGTACATTACATCCTGTAGAAGATGTCAAAATAAACACAAACAAATTAAGAACTGAGACAAGAATTCTCTTGTGATTGCAGTACATTTGTAATCTGTAATAAAAGTTCTTGGTACATTTCATGATATTATTAACTTACATGTTGACATAAAAATGTTGCATGGCTACATAATTATGTTGCTTGTTAACATTATAATTTATCTTGCATGTAGGGGGCAGAAATATGCCACCATACTTCCTTGGTTGTACCACTACAAATGTATATCACATGCAGGCAAGTATTCAACCGTTCTTGTTCACCACACGGATTTTTCAAGGCCCACTGGAGCAAAGAACTGCGAACAATAGTATTGTTCTCCGCCTACCTCCAAGTCAATTTTTAGGTCACCTGAGTAAACTCAGGTGACCTATTGCCATCTGTTTTCGTCTGTCGTCGTGCGTCGTGTGTTGTGCGTTAACATTTGAACATTTTCAGCTTCTTCTCTGTAACCACTGAACCAATTTCAACCAAATTTGGCACAAAGCATCTATGGGTAAAGGGGAACAAAAATTGTGAATTTCATGATCCCTGCCCCCCTGGGGCCTGAGGGGTGGGGCCAAAACCACTAAAATTAGTGCAATCTTTGAAAATCTTCTTCTTTACTCCTGGACATCAAGCAGTCAAACTGTTTGCATGATTGTAATCAGCATTGAATCTTTTACCAAAATTGTGAAATTCATGGCCCTGGGGTCAAGGGTTCTAGTGCTAGGGCGGGGCTAAATAAGTATATAGTGAAAATGCATTATTTCATTGAAAATCTTCTTCTCTGCTCCTGGGTAATAAATAAACCAACTAAGTGCATAGTTATAATGAGCAAGAGTGCCTCTACCAAAATTGTGAATTTTATGGCCCCAGGGTCAGGGATTCTGGGTTAGGGTGGGGCTCTATAGATTATATAGTGAAAATACATGAATTCTTTGAAAATCTTCTTCTCTGCTCCTAGGTATTAAATAAATAAACTATAAAGTGCATAGTTATGATGAGCAAGGGTGCCTCTACCAAAATTGTGAATTTTATGGCCCCAGGGTCAGGGGTTCTGGTGTTAGGGTGGGGCTTTATAGATTATATAGAGAAAATACATGAATTCTTTGAAAATCTTCTTCTCTGCTCCTAGGTATTAAATAAACTAACTAAGTGCAAAGTTATGATGAGCAAGAGTGCCTCTACCAAAATTGTGAATTTTATGGCCCCAGGGTCAGGGGTTCTGGTGTTAGGGCGGGGCTCTATTGATTATATAGTGAAAATACATGAATTCTTTAAAAATCTTCTTCTCTGTTCCTAGGTATTAAATGAATAAACTAAGTGCATAGTTATGATGAGCAAGAGCGCCTCTATCAAAATTGTGAATTTTATGGCCCCAGGGTCAGGGGTTTTGGTGTTAGGGCAGGGCTCTATTGATTATATAGTGAAAATACATGGATTCTTTGATTTTTTTTCTCTGCTCCTAGGTATTAAATAAACTAACTAAGTTTATACTATAGTAATGATGAACAAGAATGCCTCTTCCAAAATTGCGAATTTTATGGCCCCAGGGTTGGGTTTCTATTGTTAGGGCGGGGCTCTATTGATATTATAGTGAAAATACATGAATTGTTTGAAAATTTTCCTTTCTGCTCCTAGGTATTAAGCAGGTGAATATACCTATATAGTTATGATGAGCAAGGGTCCTAATCTTCCAGAACTGTGAATTTCAAGGCCCCTGGGTCAGGGGTACCATAGACAAGGAGGGGGGGTTACTTATATACTAAAAATGAATGAATTGTTTGAAATCTGTTCCTTGGTATTAATCAAATATTTTTGAAAAGCAAGGATGCAATTGTGCAATGTTTGGATCTAGGCCTAAGGGTCAGGGGTTCATGTGTGAAAGGGGCACTACTGATTAGTTGACATGCATTTTTTGCTCCCCTACCCTGCCTTTGGGTATTCAATAACCAAACTAAGCAACTGTTATATTTTATTGATATATTTACCAGGTAAGTTTTATTGTTTTGCCTAAAACATAAGAAAAGATATAAAGAACATTTAATCATATCCAAGACTTTTTTTTTTTAATTTGGTGATGACTGAAAATCCGATTTCAATGGAAAATATCGTCTATCTCCCTTTTTTCAAGACATGGAATTATGAATAACTTGCTGTTTAGCACTGGTACCAAGACAATTCATCAATTACCATTGAACTGTTCTTTGTATTAAACAAACATTTTATGGCCAAATTGATATCTATTTTAAATTAAATGGTTCCAAAATGTAGGCAGGAATCCAGAGTAAGCGTTCGTATTTCTTTGGCTCATTCAAATTCAATATGGCAGCCAACACGTACGTAGAAAAAACTGTAAGCAATGTGAATTGTTTGTTTACTTCATTATCAAGATGATACAAATTTATATTCTTGTTTTTGAACTATGTCCTGAAAAAACTTAAGTATTTTATTCATGAAATTTTGTTCAACATGTACACAGGCAGGCGCGTAGAATTGTTTTTGAAAGGGGGGGGGGCAGCCAGAGAATTTTTTTTTACTTACCTGAAAAAGTTGACAAGCAAAAAAAAAAAGAAAGAGAGAGAGGAAGAAAGGGAAAAGTTGCCCAAAGTCGAAAATCCTTATATCACCAGAGGAGGGGGGGGGGGTTGAGGTAAACTTTTTCTCAGTATCAACTACTCTCAATACCAATTCTAATACTACAGTACCGACCAGACCCAACCTGACACCAAAGCAGTCCCAGAAAGCAGTCCCCGGGACTGCTTTGGGACCGCTCTGGGACTGCTGTGGGACTGCTCTGGGACCGCTGTGGGACTGCTCTGGGACCGCTATGGGACTGCTCTGGGACTGCTATGAAAAGCAGTCCCAGCAGTCCCAGCTGCCCCTGGGACTGCTTTCTGGGACTGCTTTGTTCACTCATGTGTGAAAAAGGTTCTGAGTGACATGATAGCTCCGCCCCCTTGTGTATTCTGAATTTGCGGGCTCCCTGTTGTTTTGTTTACTTGCAGCAGAGAGGAGTTTAAACTGTTTAATAAGCAAGGATTTCTAACATTCTTTTAATAAATAGAGATTATTATAGTTAATTCATATTTTCAGGGACTGAATACTTACACAAATTAATGTGTATTTAGAATAAATAAAAAATTAATAAAGTTAATAAATAAGGAATTCATGAGAAAATTTTATCCCTAAAAATAAACTACATGTTTATGAGAAAAAAAAGCTACATTTGGGCCTTTTTTTTATTATTTAATATTGAATCTTAATATGTACTCAAAATTTGCATTGGTACTATTTTAACATAATCATTACAGTTAGATATAAGGTTTTTTGATTAAAAATGCTACACATTTTATAAGGACCACGCTAAAAAAGAGTATTCCATGAAACCCTCAAATAAAACCAACAATTTATTAAATGACCTTGAAATAAAATTATGTTACCATTATGTTACATAAACTATGTGAATAATTATTGGGGAAATAGTGAATTACCGGTAGCTCTTAATTAATAAACAAGTTATTAAAAGAGTATATTTATTTTTAAAAAAATGAAAATACCGGGATTGTGATTTATTTCTTTTTTTGTTTTGCTAGTGTTTACCTGGCCGATTAATGTTTATAAGATGGTATCAACACCCATTGTTTCAATCGCCTTCGGGCAGAAAAATCAATACATGTTATTTGGGTATTTGTATCAGTGTTACACATCATTGAACATGCTGGTAAACAATGACACTAATTTCAATCTATGTACTGCAAAAAATTCTTTGTTTCAATAACTGTGTATAAATTTATTTCGGGATTAATTAATTTTGAACATAATCTGAAGCTTCCATTCAGGTGATTTACAGATGCACCCTCTAACATTTACAAATAAAACACTTAAAACTGAGTTTAATAGAACTAGGCATTAACGATTATTAAATTGACATGTCAGAAAAAAATACTCATGACTGAAAAATAATGCTTGGCAAAATTAACAAAGAATTTTTTTAAAAGTCCCAATACTTAAGAAAACTCCTACTTTAGAGTAGCCCGATAGTCTAAATTGGCCAAATAAAGATAAGATCTAAAGATTGTCTATCAGATTTAAAGCTTCTTCTGGTGGAAAATAATTAATTCTCGTTTAATTTTCTTTAAAAAAAAATAAATATGGGAACCAGTATCAATTACAGAAGAATTATTAATATACCCAAGAATTGTGACTAAATATTCATGTTCAGTGTAATTCATATATGTACATGTAAGTGTGAAAGTCTTCTTCCTCCAATAATTATTATATTATTAAATTATTTCCATTTTTATGCGCGTACATGCTCTGTTCATGAATGACCTTCGCGTACATTTAAGGATTCCTGGCATACTACCCAGAATCAATTTCTACTGCCTTTTGTAGTTCCATTGTTTATTGGAAATCTCATTTCTGAGTTAGCTCCGCCCATTAAATTAATAAATCCCGCCCACTGGGACTGCTTTCTGGGACTGCTCTCTGGGACCGCTGGGACTGCTGGGACTGCTCTGGGACCGCTGTGGGACTGCTCTGGGACTGCTCTGGGACCGCTGTGGGACTGCTTTAGCAGTCCCAGAAAGCAGTCCCCGGGACTGCTCTGGGACTGCTTTGTGTCAGGTTGGGTCTGGTCGGTACTGTACAGTTTCGGTACATCACTAAAAGTGGTGGGGCCAAACAGGCTTTCAATGAACATTTTTTATAGCAAAGGTAAGGTTGGAAAAATAAGTGGGGGGGGGGGGTGGCCCCCATGCCCCCCACCCTGTCGCTACGCCCCTGAAAGTCTATTTCCTGTCCGAAAACCAAAATAGAATTCATCTCAAAGTGAACATGAATAAATTTCAAGATTGACTTACTTTGTTAAAAAAAAATAGTGAAAGTCAGATAAAAACTTCATTTATAATCATACTTTCAATGACTTTTAATGACAAGTTTATTATTTAAAAAATGAGACAATCCAGGAAAAGTTATTCCGGTACAAGTCTT